AGAGGAAGCGAAACAGGGCCGAAGAGGCACCCCTCCCTGTGGAGTCCTTGGGATTCTCTGAGTTTGTAATGAAACGTTTGCAAGAAAACCACCAAGCTCAGAGAACCCCAAGGACTCCACAGTTCAACCCTGAGCTACAGATATTCTCTTCGATTGGTACCCCTATCTGTGTTGTTGCAAGTTAGTGGATGTGGGTTTGCTTCCTTGAGATGGGTAAATGTCACTGTTTCTGCCACTAGAAGTGACTGCGAGATCCAATCACATGGAATGAAGGACGGGAAGCTATTACACTCAGTGGAAAACTAACTGAAGGAAGGCAAAGCCAGAGTAAAGTCAAGCAGCCTTTTTTATGGGGTCTGGGAGGGTTCCTCTAAGACAGAGCTTCTCAACCTCAGCAGGTTTAAGATGTGTGGACTTCAACTCCCAGCATTCCCAGAACCATCTTAAACCTGCTGAAGTTGAGAAACCCTGCTCTGAGAGTTTATCTCAATTATTCTCAGCACACACAAGCCAATTTCCTTCTATCTCACGTGAGGCTTGAAATACAGCAAGGAGAATTACTTCCACAGTCTCTCTATCCATTAAGTTTCTCCTGTTCCCAACCCAATGTAAGGACCCCAAGAGAGGCCTTTTGTCGCAGCAGAACCTATTTGAAAGGTCATCTACACAGAATGGCAACGTGTACAACACAACCTGTCAGGACCTTGGACAGTTCATGGTGGCAAGTTCTCGCTACAAATAACTCAAGAACTCTTGTCTCAGCAACATGCAGAAACCTTCTGAGAGCTTATAGGGAGCTCTTTCTGTCTCCTAAAGGACAATCAACCAATGATTGACAGCCACTGATGTTGGGGTGAACTGTTGGGAAGAAGTTGCCATCAAAATATGTGCATCTCGAAGAGCCACATACTCTGGCCTGGGTGATCTTGGAGTAGTGAGCAACAGCACACCAGGTGCCAAATTCACCTTTCTTTGGCTGCACTCACACAATATGCTTAACTTAAATTGATCTATTGTTTATTTTTCACAGCACCTGAACCATAAACTAAATAAATAGGTTGGATTTGCACAACACACTAAACCATTAAAAAAGTAAGCTTGGTTAATATGAAATAAGCTTAGCCTTTTATGTGAATGCAACTGCAAGATCATTTGTAGTTCTGGTTAAATACATTGTGCGCACACAGCCTTGAGTTCTTTGCATCACCGCGTGGACCAAGCCCACAGAACAAGGCCCAATCAAGTTAGGAAATTCAATAGTCTTGGTCCACTCCATCGGCATCGCTTACACTTCAAGGATATTTTCTTGCTCTGGGCTACACATAAAGCACTGGAATCTCCACTCAGCAGAATACAAGTTGGGGAGAGCAGATTTCACAGAATGAAACTAATCACATCTGGATTTGTAGATTTGGGGATTTGCCCCCTACCAGACCAATAAGTCCAGCATTTAAAATTATTTTCCTGCTCTCCTGGAGGAGCAGAACCTGCCTGCTTAATGCTGCTAGAACAGGGTTGTAAAACAGCATCACACAAAACACAATCCCTGTGCTTTCTAAATAGAGAGTTCACACCTATGGATGAAACTTGCTCAGCCATACTGTTACATCTGTCTACAAATCTCCAGATTTTAAAAACAGTCACATACACCCACAGTGACAGACAAGTAAGTTGTTCTCGTCTGTAAGTTTAAAAGGAAAATGCAGGCTTGCATGTTATAATTTAGGCAAAACTCTGTGTGTGTGTGTGTGTGTGTGTGTCCGCGCGCGCGTGCGCTTGTATCAACTGCACTGTTAGTGGGCATCCAGTTGTATAAATGCAGCTGTTAATGTTCCAAATTATTATAAAGTAGCAAATAGTTAGATAGAAGAGTACTGTAAAAGATTATTGAGTGGTATAAGCCCACTCAATCAAACCAGCAATTGAGAGAAAACTTTTCAAATATCTCTAAGACTTCTGCCTGTGCCTTAGAGAAGATTAAATTGATAGTCAATGGGGTGGGATAGTCCAGGTCTGGACAGGGGGCTGCAATAAATGTCCATGGGATATGCTTATGATACGTATTAATCTTCCTTAATCCAATGCTTCAAGATATATTGGATTTTAATTCCCAGCCTGAATTATCTTTGGATTTGCTGACTGGGGCTGATAGGAGTTAAAGTCAAAAATATTTGAAGTTTGACAGGCTGCCTACTTCTGCACAAGCTAGAACCTTGTAGTACAAATTCATGGCTGGCCAATATGCATTGCATGATTCTGTGCTACCGAATATATTTTTTCTAACCAACATCTACCTTGGCAACTCTACATGTGCTAAATTGGCAAGCTACTTACATCTTTGGTATATTCTTTGTAAATACAGGGCCCACCTCTTGAAATGCATTCAGGACAGCACTTGCCTTCTAAATGAAATAATTCTTCATTCTGCAGAGAAATAGAACATTACAACAAGATACCCAGAATCAGCTTTTTTTTCCAATGATACTGAGAGGAGAGACCGGGAAGCTGGCCATTTTTTATTGGAACAGAGTCCTTAAAATCCTATTTCTTTTATCTCATTCCATCACTGAGTTCTCTTCCAAAAAGATACGTATCATTGTGGCTGTATAAAGATTGCACACAAACTCTCCTTGAAATGCCACAGTGCTGACACTAGGTCAACTCATGGGAGAGAGGGGGGAATTGAATCACATCTGTGGGAGGTTGCAATCTGCTTGTCTACCTTCATGAAACCTCATTTTCACAGAACAATATCCCTCCATTGAAGTAGGGTGCTGAACGCGGCACCTCTACCTTTGATTCCCACAGCCTCCCCCGTGAGGTCAGTTAGACTGAGAGAGAATGACATACGCCAAGTCACTCTGTAATCTTACTCATGTAAAGTATTCATATCCTAGTGCTGCTTATCTTGTGTGCAGTTCTAGGCGGTTCACAACAACAGTAAAATCATAAAACAGAAGCCCAGAAAAACAGCACCATCAATACAAACATGTAAAACATTGAAACTGCAATTTGATCAAAACTGCAAGAAGATTTTATATCAGTGATGGGCAACCTGCAATTCTCAGGTCTCCTAGAATCTTGTGGCTCCATTCTGTCACCTCCTCAAGCATCCCCCGGATGGATTGCCAACTTTCAGTATTATGTTACCTCACACTTCCCAAAATCAAAAGCAAATAAAAGCATTAAAACCTTGCTTCTTAACTCCCCCATCACAAAACTAAAGTTTTGGACCACAAAATGGTTGTCTAGTCCTGTAAGCCCTCCAGAACAGGAAGGACTTTTGCTACGTCTAAAAAATTATTAGTGAGGAAGTGAGAGAGACCTCTCCTAGCATTAGGTACAGCTAATTGAAAGGTCCCTCTACCTTGTCCCTTGAGACAGATACGATTTTTCCAACCCACATCTCAACATGTAGGTAGCTTTATACGGGTATTTCGAACATCCTGGTCCTAAAGCATTCAAGGCTTTTATGGTCATCATCAACACAACAAAAAAGGGCTTGAAGTAAGATTTCACTGCTCACAATTTAACCCCCAAGTTGGTCTTCTCCAGCTTTAATTCCCATCAGCTAACAAGGTCAAAGGAAGTCCGAAGAATTGTACATTTGAGGGGGCAGAAGGTTGGGAAAAGTTGGGGAAGGCTGCTCTCCCAAAATGCAAATGTTAATATCTGGAATTTCTGCTTTTACCTAGTAAAGCCTGCACAAATTCACTCTATGAACCAAAAGGAAAGGCGGTCCTGCAATGGGGAGGAATCTCCTTGCCAAAACATCGCCCATCCCTGCCAACACTGAAGGTTGGGGACGACCACTTAAGCCTAATTTTCTATTGCCTATTTTATGTTGACAGGGCAGTGGCAGGAGCCTTGCGAACAAACCCACGTTGACTACGTACATGATTCTTGGCACCTCAAGCAATTTCAAGCAGTATCCTGAAAAGAAGGCGAGATGGATAAACTTCCTCTGTGGTTTCTGAACTCAGGATAGGATGGTTTGCAACGTTACAAATGAGGGAGAGCCTCTTAAGAACAGAAGGAAAGATCTGTTAGATCATACCAATTCCAGAACATCTGAAGGACTCCAAGTTGGGAAAAACTGCTCTGTCAGACTCACCATCCCGATTCCCTCAACATTCATAGGTGAAGATGACTAATATGTCAATAACCCTAATGTCATTAATCAAGAGTACAGAAACCATTAGCGTATGGAGGTGGCAAAGCTGCAAGGGCCTGAGATGGAGATCCAAGAGCCCAGGAATCCTGACAGCAACCAAACTCAGCACCACAAGCATCCACGTGTTGGGATGAGAGATGGCGACTGGCCCAAAATAGAAAGTGCTGTCAGTTCTGCTGGGCACCCAAACTTCCCAAAAATGCAAAATAGAAAAAGCAAGGGATTGGTGCTGCTGCTTTGTGGGGGAAGGGGGGTCTGGGAGTTAACTGAGAGATAATGTGTCTGGGAGAAGGATAATGTGTCTGGGTCCCTAACAGGCATATTCCCTGGGCTGTATGAACCCAAATCATGCTGCGGAATGTAGGTCAGCTAAATGTCTACAGGGGTCTGATGTCCTATGTGACTTCCTTTTAAGATTAAAACCAAGTCACCTTATCTTTTTATTCTATTCCTATGTTTCACAACTGTTACGGCGTCACAACTATGATGACAGCCTCATTACAGCTGAAGCAGAATCAGGTAACCAGAAAAGTTAATTCTTCCCTAATGAAGGATGAAACTCATGGAGATGTAGCTTGAATTTCACTCCACCTTCCTTTGCCCTGTCCTAAATACAGAGCAAAACAGAAGAGTTGGGGGCTTTTAGAATAGCTTTTGAGCCAACTTATACAATATTTCAGTAGAATTACACTGATATCACCTCTGGAGCCAATGATCTAGGATACAGCAGTGATAATAAGTAGCAGTGGACACAGTCTAGATGAAAAATTACATATATAATTTCCACATGCAGAAAAATGAATTCTGCAAGCTGTGTGAATAATGCAAATTTGTCTCTCATTTTGCATAATTTGTTCTGTGAGTTCTTTTCCATTCCTCTCCATAATCGATTCTGTTTCTCATTGAAAAGGGCAAAAACATGCAAGAAAGGGAGGCCCACCTTCTGACTGTGAGCTGGCATTGTGTCTATTGCTGAGAACTCACACTAATGATCCATCAGTGCTGCACACTGGAATATCACCCAGTACCAAGAATTTTCAGATATATGTGGGATTGTAACCATTCAATGGATATCGTAGAGTGGAGGCCCATGTACCTGAATGGGCAAATCAATATGCATCCAAGGGTTGAGAGAATGCCATCAAGAAATAATCCAAGAGTCTCCCAAGCCAGAGAACCAAAGTTCCAATCCAGAAGACCCAAGAAAAGTCAAAATCAAAATCCAAACTAGGAAAGAATCCATGAAGCCAACCCAAGATAACTGATTATAGGAGTACAGAGTATAGAGACAATGGATGTTGTTTTAGTACTGGGTTAATCCCAAATGAAGAGCTTCTATAAAGATTCAAGCATCTAATCCCAGTATGTACAGCTGGCATGGACCTGATAGGAATCCACACCTCCTTAGAATTAATAGTAACCTCCAGAGAGACTTTGGCTATAATCTCTTATTTCTGTACCTCCCACTCCTCTGACTGCCTGCCCAATACTGCTATGGCTACTGCAGGCTTGGAGGTTGTTCTACAGAATCTGAGTCAGGGACTCAGATCTTATTCTTACATGATCTAAGTCTCCTCATTTTGTCATAGGGCCTCATAGATTTACTGGCTTCCAAGGTTTCCCCAATTCCTCATCTTACGAAGTCCAGACTTCCACAAAAGGGTAGGATAGCAGGCTGAGCATCGATTCATCTCAATGGAAAGACCTACAAAGATTTGCCATAGAAGCTGGCCCTTTACCTGAGCAGCCCCTGGCTCTCCTGGTTCATTCAAATTCATTGCAGGTCCCCAATTTGACCTTTCTGTTCTGACCTCATTGCTCAAGTCAAGGAGAGATTAGTCACAATCTCTCTTGCCTCATGAAAGGGTCACAATCTCTCATGAACAAGCTACTTCTTTATGTTAAAGAGAAGCAATGGCAGACATTGCTGCTCTGAAACCCTGAGAAGTTCGCTTTTGAATCCAAGCAAATGGACAGATAATTGCTTTTTCTACAAGAGTTGAGCAAAGAATTAGTTAATAGTTGAAGGTTTTACAAGGCAGGGCAGTGATATAACAATGGCATTGGAAGGGGTAGGATTTAGGGCCTTTTTTTTTTTAGGAATTTGGGGGCATATTCTTCTAGGTCCTATCAGAGACATAATGCAATCCTTCTGAACTAGGCTCAAATTATCCTACTTCGGACACAGACCTAGCTCTCTGGAGAAGGCTCTAATACTAGGAAAGGTAGAAGGAAAGATGTGATGGAATGGAATTATGAAGGCCAGGCTCAGGGAGATAAGCATTTTGATTGATGTCAGGCCTAGCCCAAAGAACTCCAAGAGACAATGCAAAATCAGTTCAGCTATGTTTAAGCATTTTGATTGATGTCAGGCCTAGCCCAAAGAACTCCAAGAGACAATGCAAAATCAGTTCAGCTATGTTTATTAGCTACAACCTCTAGCAAGAATCTTCCCAGACTGAAACCCCAGCTCCCAAGTCAGCCAGCCACAACAGTGTGAATTCCTCAGGGAGGTGCCAGTCTCATCCTCTTGTAGTTCCCACGCTCCTGCGGCGAGCTAAGAAAATGCTTATCTCTCTGAGCCTGGCCTTCATAATTCCATTCCATCACAAAAGAGAAGAGGACGACCAGCAGCAAGATGGATGGACTCAGTTACAGCGGTCAGGGGGGACGGTGAAAGACCTGAAGGACCAGGCTGGGGACAGAACATCCTGGAGAAAATCTATCTACTTGGTTGCTAAGAGTTAACACTGACCTGATGGCACATAATCAGTCCATCGATCAATCATCTGAACATCCCCTCGAAATATACCAAATTTTATCATTAGCCAGAAATCACCAAATTTCAACAGCTTGTTCTTGGACACCACCAGGAACTGCAAAAAGAGGGTGTAGGCTGCATACGGCCAAGGGGCCACAATTTGACCATTCTTGCTTTGGAGTTTGCTCCCTTGACAAAAGTGAGGAAATTAGTGGGCTATGCAAATGCAGTTGGTAATATTGAAGGTGAAGCTGCAGTATCTGTTAGGCTCTATCAGCTGCCTGAATGGAAAGTGAGTCTCTTCCAAGCACAATTCTCAGAGTCCTCTGTAGCTAGATTTCCTGAGATGACCAGGATAGAGTTACAAGAATTCTAGCAACTGAACTCTTTTCCATTCAAAGCACTTTATGTTTATGTGGTTAGGGCAGAGGCATTTTGATTTACTTTCTAAAGGTGTTCTTATCTTCTGAATCCTTATCAGTCTGGGAACCAACTACTTCAGTATCTGGCCCTGATGTTTCCAGGAGCCTGAGTAAAAAGGCCACTTAGAAATCTTCTGAATATACAAAACAGAGAGATAACTTGAGAATGGAGTCTTTTCCTTACCGGGGCACAGTCCACTTTGGCACATTCTGCGTTCCAGCAAGCAACTTGTCCTCCATCACAGATACAGAACTTACAGTCAGTATCATTCCACATCTCATTGTGGTATTTGATGGTGCTATTGTGCACACAGCTCCCCTTGGAAAATACACACTCTTCACAACACTCCCCAGGACGACGCACTTTGTTCTCCCCCTGGGAATATGCAAGTGAGAGATTAAGGAAATGAGAAGCTGGCAAATTCCCAAAAAATCTCCAAGATTTCATCTTAGGAATTACCTTCCCACAATTCAGTGGGGGGCAGGTCTTTGTAAAACATCTGGATTCTCCTCGGTCACATATGCAGGTGGTGCAGGCATCTTTCTTCCACTCTTCACCATGCTGAATAACAAAGAAAAGTTATTTGAATTATTCTGTTTGTTTTGATTGCTGATGCCCACCGGAAGTCATGATTCAAGTGCTGGTCAAAAGCACACTCAGTCAAGAAGCACATCTGAGGTCATCAGCCCTTTTCTCTTTGATGTACCTCAAAAGGCTGCAAGATAAAGTATCTTGGGCAGTCTAGAAGGAAACACAAGTTAAAATGGTAGCAATAGTCCTCTGCCTTTCTTACAGGTGAGTTTTCATTGGGTTTGGTTGGGCTTAGGGCCTCCTGCTGGCTTAGGGCCTCTTTAATGACAATATAAACGTGACTCCTGCAGTCTTCTCAGCAAGAAACTTGATTCTACTAACGTGTACAAAAAATATGCATTGCCTGAATGTGTCTTAGTTCTCCCTGTTGCCAGAATGACATGGGGGCCAGCATCCATGCCATTTTGATTATACATCTTATGAACCCAGAACTAATTATTAATCTGGAAGTCCTGAGCCCCCAAATGCCTATTTTCCTCTCCCCAACCACTTATCCCCAACCACCACTTCACCAAAGAATGGTCTTATCTAAATGAGTTGGTAGGCCCCGTTCTGTCTTGCCAGCACATTCCTTTCTTCTTCTGATCCCTTTCAACTCACTGGGCTTCCCAGGAAGAAAATAATTAGGTTTTTTTTTTTTTAAGTATCATTAATGTTGTTAAAAATCTCAAGTAGTGGGTGAGGTACAAAGAAAAATGCACAACTCATTTCAAGTTAGCTCTTGGGCCATTTTATCCAAGGGTTACCTGGTATACTGTCCCAGACGCAAAGCAGGATTTCCGAACACATTCTGGACAACATTTTCCAACTGGTACAACCATACTTTCACCCTAATCATTGGTAGACGGGAAAAAAAAACAAATAAAATAGACGGAAGATGCCAAGAAGGCCACAGGTTTGTATGGGCATTCACATTCATCCTGTATCTTTCTCCCACTGAAGAAAAAGTTCTATTTTTACATAACTCTATATCCTGCCATACTCTCATGATTCTCAGGACTGCAGAGGATATGCAAAAAATAATAATTAATCAAAAGCTCCATGGTATGATTGAAGCAAAAATAACTAAATCATAAAATTAACAACCACTTATAACTTAACAATATAAAGTAAAAAAAGATCCTTACAATTCTAGAACGGGTTGGACATCTTACGCAATATGCGTTCTTAGTAAGGAAGGAGAATGAAAACGCATTCAGGGGAATTTGTGAAATTTCACTCTCTACAACTTCCAGCCCTTGCAGATGATCTGAGGCTGCAGAAAAGGAGGTTGAGAAGCATGATGGATATGGTGGCAAAGCTAATATTAAAAAACACAAAAACTCAAACTAAGCAGCCCACTTATTTGGGGTCCTTCAGCTCAAGATTTAACCCAGCCAGAGATTCTATCACAGAACACAGAAAGAGAAAATCCTCAAAGATTGGCTAGGAGGGTTTTGTCCTCTCCCCAGGCATCAACAGATTAGAAAAAGACAATTTTATATCAGGGAAAGTGAATAAGAAAGGAAGGATGTCATATTTTCCAGAACCTAACAATTACACTGTCTTGTTTGACACAGGATGTAATGGTATGTAGGAAAGACCTTGGGAGATAGGGCAAAGAGATGCTGCCCAGTCAGATAAGAGACTGCATAGCCCGCAACTGGGTAGTGGGTAGGGCAAGAGGCTCAGAAGAGACCCTCCTTAGTTTCTCAGGCTGTAAAGGAGACAGAGGGAGAATTGTACTTTCCGACTTGCAAGGTTCTGTTAATCTAGCTTTACAATAAAGTAGAATTAGCTCATCCAGTCATGTTTCCTGTCTGGTCTACCTAATAAGGCTGACGCAGTAGGAGGACACAGTAGGAGGGCGTCTTGTTTGACACAGTACTTAGTCTATGGTGGCAAAAAATCAAAACGATTCTGGAAGCCCCTTTTTCAACTAACAAATTTTATTGAAAACCATAATCTTTCAGGAGCTGCAGCTCACTTCATCAGATGCACAGAGCAGCGGGACTGATGCTGGATGTAAGCTTACGGCTAGACTGATGTAAGCTTATGCTTTTGAATAAAATGTGTTAGCCAGAAAAGGTGATCCCTGACTCCTCCCAACTGTCATGTTTGCTGTGTCTTAGGACAAAGCTTATGGTAGAGTAGGGGTGGGCAACCCAGAGCCCATGGGTTGCAGGTAACTCTCCCCTCAAAATTTCTCATAACCTCTGGATGTCCCAAGATTGCATTGAACAGATTTAGCAGTTTGGTGTATTAAGTTTCCAGTAGGATTAGGACACCTTTAAAAGTAAAAAGCACAACTGAAAAAATAAAAAGGGAGGGGGCAGGGAAGAAATCCTGGCCAGCTTTTCTCTAGCAATGCCATGATGTCTCCACCCTTGCATTGTAAGCTGATTTGACTATATGGAGAAAAAATTGGTGAGACACAGGAAGCTTGAAAATGAAAAAGAAAATTAAATTGTTAGTCCTATTGTTCAATAATACTCATAAATGCAGTTTTTCCTGCTCCATTAACTTTCTTCCCTAAAAGACCATCAGTAGACATCCTTTGCTTTTAGGGAACAAACTAAGGCACAGTCTATTCTATTGGTGGGCCCAGGTGACTGCATAGGAAAGGGAGGAGGCAAATGATGTCATGGACATCATTATGTCATCACATTACAATTAATCTCATTTTGTAAAGTTGTCATGATGCGCTTGATGTCATTGTGACATTGTGTTAGTAAGCATGCTGCAACAACGGAAATAAAAAACAGAAAATTTAGAAGAGTAAGTCCATTTTAAGGTTAATCCCTCTTCCTTTGGAACTTCATGTTGAAAATCCAGAGACATCTCCAAAGCAGTTGCATCCACAGGGAGGGGAGGAGTGGCTGAGATGATGATGGCTGTGCAATCGAAGTCTCACCCCCTTTTTTACTTGCAATGTATGGGCGACTAAGTAAAAGACAGGTGGGTTTTGGTTAGGGCACTATCTTGATTTTCTTGAACTTCCCCTGCAGATGCTCCTGCTCCAAAAGTAACCAAAAGGGACCTGTGTTTCTGGAACTGTTGCAATAATACAGGAGTTGTAATCTGATTATTCTTCATGTTTTATAACAGCCTTCACCAACCTGGTGCCCTCAAATGTCCCAGAGGCCAACTCAGTTATACAGCTACTGCTAGAAACTTGATGGTTGGAAATTATGGAAGTTGAACCTATCTAGAGGGAAACAGCTTGGAAGTTACAGTGTTCTAATGATTATCTAATTAAATCTTATTCACCACAGGCACAAGGTAAAAACCAGGATGATGTCAATTTGACACTGGACTCATGTCCAGTCAAAAAATGACTCATGTCATGAGGTCATGTTGCACAAAACGTAACTTTGCACCCTCCCTATGTATTTCTGTAATAACAGCATGTTGAAGAACAGAGATTTCAAATTTTAAAGAATGAATGGAAGAAGAAATTGGAGAGCCCCATTGTGCTTAAAAAATGGGAAACCTTCTTAATGTCTGTGTCAAAAATTTCAGTAGAACTACTGGACTACAGTTTATGCAACTAAAAAACAGTATTTTGGACTTATTGGACCACGTTGCATTTGTATAGAAAAGGAATTATTATGTTGCTGGAAATGCAATAAGAATAATGCTTCATTAAAATAAATATTTGTTAATGTCCTAAAGCTATTAAGTTCTGGGAAGAAATAATTACGTACATTAATTTAATTTTGAGACAAGGTTTCATATTTTCAGACATCCATATTCTTTTGAATAACATACCTAATACATGGAAATTGATGGCTGCACAGCAGAAATGGATCCTCAATGTCCCCCTTATTGCTAAAAGACTAGTCCTTCAACATTGGGAAGATAAATTTATGACTCCAATTACTCAGTGAATTGAAGTCCTAAAGTTACTTGCAATTTATGAACAAGTTGCTTACAGACAAAGATTAGGTGTGGACAATTACAATGAAACATAGTCATCCTTTACTCAAAATCTGTGTGTGTGTGTGTGTGTGTGTGTGAGTGAGAGTGTGTGTGTGTGTCCCTTTCCTTTTCTTTCTTTTTCTATTGCTTTTCCCTTGTTCTGTTTAATTAAATCAATAAAGGGGAAAAATTAAATAACCACAGCATGTTGAAGAATGGGAATGAAGTGAGTTTGCTTAAACTCTCCCATAAATTTGTCCTCAGGCTCATTTTCTCCTTGTTCTTCATGTTCATTACAAAGCTGAGCAAAGTGAAGAAACATCTGAACGTGCTTCTTCCCAAAAATATATACTCTCAACAAGAAGGACTTAGTATTTGTACTGGGATTCCTGCTGGCTCTTTAAATTCATGGTAGAAGAGTGAAGGGAGATAATTCTAACAGAGAAATTGTTTACTGCCTGAAACTTATGAGCCATGTTGTTTGGCCTCCTGCCGCTACACGCCAAGTTCCTCCTAGTAACCTGAATGACTAGTCACCCATGTCAGGAGAGCAATTCCTCTTAATTTAAAAAAAAGGAATGCTTATAGGAGAAGGCACTCTTTTGGTAGTGAAAGAATTGTCTGGCTTAAGAGATGGGTAGGTAGATCTGCTAGAGATTTCCCAGCTGTACTCAACAATGAATGACAGAACAACTCCTGTCCATGAAGGAGCTGGAACAAAAGGGTTCACACTCTTTCTCTGTGAGGGAATAACATTCCTAAATAGGTCATAATGTCAAACGAGAAGTATGTTCCATTATCTGGTTCATAGCTACTTGTCCTAAATATTTAGAGCCTAGTATCCACAATAAAGCTCTAACTCTCTTACTTAATGAAGAGGTAAAGCAAAAAGGGGCATCAATATTTAACTTAACTGGAACAAGTAAAGGGAAACGCAGCATCAATATTTTATTGAAATAACCGAATCTAGCAATTTGGTCACTGATTACAAGCACAATGACTGATAAACACTAGGCAATTAATTAAATGCAATTATGTGTTAAGAGCAAAATAAGATTGCAGTAAAACCTTGATTTAATGGACCATTACCAGGAGGATGTCTAGTATTCCCAAATGTCCACTAAATCGAAACTTATATCATTTGTGTTAATTTACTTTATTTTACCTTATTTGTATCATGATATCATGACACAGAGGCTATAAGTGGCATAAATAGTGCCATGTACTTAACCTGAGTTAACATGTTGTCTAGGCAGTCTGTTGACTTTTTCTGGTGTTCTGGGTTATTGCAGTGTATTTCTACTTGTCTGAATAATGTTCTTACACAGCTCCTCTTGTGGCAGGTTGGGTTGCTACTTTAAAGTAATAGTCTGCTTATACAACATCTTCCAACAAAATGGATACCCACGGAACTTTATCAAAAAGTGCCTGACCACTCAACCCACTATAGCACAACCAACACAAGCTACGGAAAGGATGACACTGCCATACATCAAAAACATCTCAGAAACAACCAACAGACTATTGCAACCACCTGGCATCACCGTAGCATACAAACCAACTAAAGCCCTCCAAAACATCTTAAGTAAACCAAAAGACCCAATAGCCCAAGAGGAAAAAACAGGAATCACCTACAACATACATTGTAATGACTGTAACAGTCACTACGTAGGGCAGACAGGCAGAAGACTAGCAAAGCGCATCCATGAAGACCAACTAGCAGTCAGAAGACACGATGAAAACTTCTTAATCTCACAACACTGGACAGACTCAACCACAGTTTCAACTGGGAAACTGTGAGCATCTTAGACCAAGCTAAATCCAAAAATGCTAGGGAATTCCTGCAAGCTTGGGACTCAGACCAATCAGCCATCAATAGACAATAGAGATAAACCACATTTATACATCATTCAAAAGAGACAATAAAAAAACTAAGAAGGAAACAAAAAGACCAGAACACATCCTCTCCAGCGGCCAACACCCAGATAAGCAGCAATTAACACCAGACAAACAATCAAGCGAAAAACAATGCCCTAATCAAGGAACTATCAAGGAGAAAACCACACCCCTACCAACACTGGCAGGACAAGCTTCTGTATATAAACAGGGAGCAAACCCCACACTCACTAGCACTGATGATGTTACCTAGTCAGGTAATGAAACATCTGCAAGTAAACAACCAAGCTCGGAGAGCACCAAGGACACCAAAAATGGAAATAAGATACATTAAGTGAATCGTCTGGACTATTTTGGATACAACAGACTATTAGTTTGGGGAGATATCTGGATACACATTTTGTCAGTTGCATCTGAGATCCACTAATTGGGGACTCTTTCAGTCAAGGTTCTAGGTGATTATATTTAGATTGCTGGCGCTTTGTACTGGCTTAAGATGCAACATTTTCTGGAGAAGGCTGTAATGCTGGGAACAGTGGAAGGAAAGGCAAGAAAAGGACAACCAACAGCAAGGTGGTTGGACTCAGTTACAGTGGCACATAATCAATCAAGATGAAACACAGAGGTATACACATGGTGTTCCTGTGAGGGATTGAAGCTGGGGTTGCTGTCTTTATTTGGGAAAAACAGCAGCAGCCAGGCAGAAACACTTCCCACCCCCACTTTCCCAAAAAGCTCGTGCTTTTTCCCCAAAGGGCTGTAAAAGTTTGTAGTCTCAGAAACTTGAGAGGAGATGGGCTCATTCATTCATTCTCTCCTCCACTCACAGTTTACTCACTGGCATCCATGCTGGTGTTCCAGATTTCTGGGTAATTGAGCCACACCCTGGTGTTTTTAGGAATGTGCCGATGTCCACAGGCAGCCTCATCCCACCCAGGCCCTTAGCCTACATGGGTGGGTGTGCAGGAGAGGAGGAGAAGACAACAAGCAGACGAGGAAGCAGGAAGCAATGTCTGGAATGTGTGACTATTACAGGCAAGCAAGAGGGCTATCGGTCAACTGCCAGGGCCACAAGCTATGGTAAGCAGCCCACTGTGGTAAGATTTCTGTCTGGAGCTTGGCATAGAACTCGGCCTGGAGCTCGGTAGCAACCAGACAAGGAACAATCACACTGAGGCAGCACTTAATCCCAACAAGTGCAAGAACTTTTGAGGTTGAATGCCACTTTACAAACTTTAAGACTTTTGTTTGCTTTAAGCACTGAATATTAAAGACTTATTTACGTGGCTACATCAACGTGCAAAGCCTAGGAAGGTGGACCCAGGGAAACAGGACAGGTGTGAGCTGCAATGAAATATTTTGTACAGTTATCTTCTAGGTTGTGGTGTGTCCAATCCTTGGAAAACCCTCACAGTTCCCTTCAGTCATGTAGACAGTTGGGTCTATCTATTCAGATCACAATGATTTTATGGAACTCCTCCTTCCATGTCAAGCATTTTGGTTCCCATGATGACAAGGCTGGAATGAAGCCAGAGAAGATTGAATCTACTGGCACAGAGTTAAAGAAGTCTCTACAGCACGATGGAATATGGCTCTTTCAGACAACCTCTTCTTCCGCTCTTAACCAGCAGGATTCAGGGATGGAACACATTGCTTTTACCAAAGGTCTGAACTGAGCCTGAAGTCTTTTGAAATTAGCTAAACCAAGCATGCCCATCTCTGATCTAGAAAAGTAGCAGAACCAGATCCAAATGTGGCAGGTCAGGGGGGAAGTTAAGATAGAATCAGAGGGATGGGAGGAGGAGCTTGGGTGGGACATGGAGGAATCTGGGCAAGCTCAGAAAAAAAATGGGAAAGGTTTGGGTTCACTTAGTTATTTTTGAAAGCTGATATTGGCTTTATTTATTTATTTATTTATGAGGGCTTTTAAATTGCTTCAGTCATATGTCTCTACACGGGGTATAGCAATGTCTTTGAATAATATATCCCTTAAAACTAAATCCATAAAACCACATCATCTTCAACAATAAATCTCATTTAAAACAATTTGTTTGTTTAAATTTATATGGCCACCCATCTCACAGAAAGTGACTCTGGGCAGCACACAACAATCAAATAGAACAACAAATACAACAACAAATATATAAAAACAATTATTATAAAAATATAAAATGAAAATATTATGAAAAATTAAAAATATTCAAACCCTAAAGCACAGAGAGAGTGAGTATATCAAGCACAGTGGAGCCATATAAGAATGTCTCCGGTTCCCTGGGACCCCCAGGCCTGGTGACATAAAGGACTTCTTGAGGGACTTCTGGAACATTGACAGGGATGGAACTAACCTGACTTTGGAGGGGTGGGGGAAATCTTCCATAAGAAAGGCACCACAGCAGAGAAAGCAATAGGGCAACACGTATTCCATATTTGTCCTAATGGCACCACAACTTACCAGTGGTTGAACCTCTCTCACTCTATCATCCCAAATGCTCCCTGGAACCATCAGCTTTTTAACAATCTCAGGAGCGAGAGCATCAATCTGATCTCCGCCGTGACAGCGTTCCACAGGAGGGGAAGGAGCTCCTGCAGAAAATGTTCACCTCAAAGCCCCTTCCTGCCGTACCTCACAAGGAGTGGAAACACTCAGCACTTTTTGCAGACGTGATCTGGATGGGGCAAAAGCCCTTGCAAACAACCAAGTACCAATCCACAGAAGAGTTACAGGCTTAAATGCTTCCTACCCAAGGTCCAATTTAATTTTATTGACTTTTTTAAGGTGCTCTTTCTTCAGGATGTCCTAGCCATCTGAGATCACATGGGCAATGTAATAATATCCTGTGACAACACAGCTGAGCAGGTACACTTCCTGATGACATCATGAACCCAAATCAGAGCGAGGGCAGTATTTCCTACTCTCGTAGTGAATGCAGTTGCTAAAACAGAGGGGTTCTTTTGCAGAGGAGAAGAGTTTTCATGAACAGCCCACTCCCTCATTTCATCTTATCTCTAGATAACAGTGATGTAGAGGAAACATAAAACAGGGCCAAGCCTGTAATCCTATTTTAATTTATATTTTCAGTAACGACAATCTTTTGTCAGGCAGCAATTTCTCATGAGAGTATACATCATCTAATTATAGTTTTCAAAAGTAATAAAATGCAAGGAAGTTGACAGCATGCATAATCTTACCGCATTACAGAATGCAGGTTGACAAAGGACTGTGAAACACTGCACGGAGCCATTCCGACAGACGCATTTGGCACACTGGCTCAGTTGCCATTCCTTGTTGTTTGGGAATATTTGGCCATCGAAAGAGCAAGAGTCTAAAAGGCATTAAAGACAGCCATTTTGCCTAGGTTTGGGGTATAGTACAAGACAAATGCAACACCAGGTCAAGCATTTCTATAATATTTCTGCAGCTCTTCTGAGAGATAAATATATTCCTGGTATATATAATGACAGAGCATAAACTCTGCACGTTAGGTATTTGTGTGCAAGAATGAAAGGTTGGAGTTTGCATCATGATGCAATGATGCACACTGTATTACTTTGGAATAACCATATTTAGGAACAGATACCTATTTGCTTTCTGCCAAAAGCTCAATAGCAAATATAATGCAAAGGAGCATTTGCTTTGCCCACAATTTTGATGAATGTCGGTTTTCATCAAAACATTACCTTTAGATTTTGGGACTTTTATCTGCTACATTCCCCTTTTTCTCCCATACACAGAGCAAAATTGTTGTTGTTATTGTTATTATTACTACTACTACTAATACTAATACTGCCAACCTAATTCCATTACATGAATTCTAAAGATATAAGGTATCATGCTTAAAGTCAGAATTGGACCTGTACAAGATTCTATGTGGCCTCTCGAGAGCTTCTTGAAAATAAACATGTAGAAGCATCAAAGAGGTCATAAAAACTCATGAAAGTCAGGCTTTACACAACCATCCGTGATAACGTTCCACCATCCTGTAACATCACTAGAAAGGGAAGTGCAAAATACAATAATGCTTAGTCCAGCCTTCCCCAATCTCACATCATCCAGAAAGCCATGGAAGGTAAACATTTTGGAACTTGAAATCCAAACACATTAGAAGGGTTTCTGTTTGGCAAGATGGCATTCACCACCAATGTACTGTTTACCATATAATAGGTGGCGATGGGAGGAAAGAGCTGAACCAGATATTTTTAAGACATCTTTTCCATGCACAGTGTTTCTCAACCTTGGCAGCTTTAAGATGTGTGGACTTCAACTAGTGGAAGTTGAAGTCCACATATCTTAAAGTTGTCAAGGTTGAGAAACATGGCCTTAGCAGCTTCCAAAATGGCAGACATGATTTAGCCAAAAGTTTAATCGACAATTATAACATCAAATTCTACTTCCCATAAAACTATTTTTCCCACCCCAGTAAAATTAGCTGTCAACCAGTCCAATAAATGCATATATCAAATATCCAACAGGTTAGAATTTGCAACACTTGGCTAATAACACTGCTTCTCTTTCCAGGTGACAAACATGGACACAATTCTTCTCTTACTCACCTCCTCTGCTTACACACTTTGGACAGCATTCTCCTCGACCAATATGTTCCATTTCATTTTCCTCGCAAGAAAGAGCAGAACAACGTTTGGGGGCACAGGTAACCACTCCATTAGCACAAGAGCAAGTTGTGCATCCTGAACTGGCCCATTCCGTGTTAGGCTTCAGAGAAAGACCAGAAGGAAAAATGAGCAGAAAAGAACGGACAAAGTCAGGTATATTTTACTTGATAGCTCCCTGCAATGAACAGTAACATCAAGAAAACCACATCCTACATTTTAGTGCTGGCATTAGTTGCAACCATTATTCCTGAATTTGAATGCCAAAATGTGTGAATGTTGTTACGCCTGTGTTGCTTAAATAGGGGAGGGCTCTATGGGGGAAAAAATTACAAAAGAGCAGAAGCCTTTTAGTGACAGTCATTCTTTTTGACACCACAATATTTGGGGCGCAGCTTTCTTCGGGAACTGTGTGTACCTATCTGTATTTGGTCTCCTTTTTTTGTCCTTGCAATAAATAATATATGCAGTTTTGTATGCAACTTTCCCAATGTATAATTTTCGTTATGAAATAACGCTTCACAAATGCGCTCTTTCATGCCTCTTCCCTAAATATATGCCATTTTTTAAAGTGCATCTTTCTGGAATTTATGTTTTTGTTTCATTTTTTGCATGACTTTTTGAGTGGGCCAAACAGAAAAAACGCACTAATATTCATGTAGTTAAAAGGCCAAAGCTGATCTCTGAGACCTAATTGGCTCTTTTTTCTGGATATATGTCCAAAACTGAATTGGCAGCAATAACGTTGCTCAGTTCATGTTTGAAGCAGTATAACATCTCTGACCTAATTCACCTGCTAGAAGAACCCTAAGGCAGCCAAAGAATCGTAGAGGACAATATATTGTGCTCAACGTTGAGCTATTGGGTTCTTGCTGTTCTCTGAGCTTGGTTGTTTTCCTGCACTTGTTTCAGGCTAGGTAACATCTTCAGTGCACTACACTTACACCGAACACCATGAACCCAACAATCACTGAAAAACACTTTACGGGAAACATCTGATGGTTATAAAGGAGGCCAGCAACCAACTTAATCTTGCACAGAATGTGGTCCCAGCATGGACTCTCAAGATTCTGTCTGTGGAATCAAAACAAGTTCCCATCAAGAATACAACAGGGCAAAGAAAACACCAGAAATGCTTACTTCTTGGAGTTGTCCTTCATGTTCGCAAAACCCTTCAGTTCGCTTAGCACACATAGGGCAGCAAGTGTTGGGGGATATTTGAAGTATTTCGTCCTAAACAGATAAACATTCCATCACATGATCTGAACACGTATTTCTTTGGAATTTGTATTCCAAATTCCATCACAGGATTTGAACAGGCATTTCTTTGCATTTGTATTGCTATTAATTTCTTTTTTTTAATACTTATATTATGGCCCGTCAAAATCGACTCTCCTAGGGTTCCTTGCAACCCACTGAAACTGCAATATGTTCCATTTTTTAAAAAGTAAAACAATTACAAATGCAGCATGGGAAACAATAAATGCCTAACAGGAGGTAATGAGAAGTTTCTCTGGAGCCTAAAATATTCAAAATGTAAGTTGGTAAAAGGCCTGAAAGAATAAACCATCATTTGCCTGACAAAGGAAAAACAATGTAAAAAGCACCTGGTTTTGTTTCACTGGAACAGTGTTTCTCAAGCTTGACAACTTTAAGATGTGTGGACTTCAATTCCCAGAATTCCCCAGCCAGCCATGGTGGCTGGGGAATTCTGGGAGTTGAAGTCCACACATCGTAAAGTTGTCAAGCTTGAGAAACATTACACTGGAGGCTATTATTGTAGGAATGTACAAGAAGGGGCATTCTTTCTAATATTTTTGTCCCAAGCTACAAAGGAGTTTACGGGTCTTACCAACCCACTGCACTGGAATGAGAAATGAATGAAGGGTCAGTGAAAATCATCTAAGCCCACCCTAATATGTTCACGTTAGGCAGTTCCAATCAACACATGCACTGTTGTATTTTGTACTAATTGAAGTTTCTGGACCATCTTCAAGGGCACTCCATGCATAAACACACTGCAGTAGTTTAAATAGGTAGTTATCAGACCATGGATTACTGAAGCGAGATTACCTCCAACCATGTCCAGCATTTGCCTGCACTTCATCCTAAGCAGTTAAAGGACCCTTCATGTCATAGTCCACCCAAGCTATGAACCTGATCTTCAGGACGAATTGCAACAAACAGTTGAATGTTATTTATCTGGACTAATAAATCATCCACAATCCAACTCTGTCTTGTCTAGATTAATCCAGTTTGTTGACCCTCATCCAGTCCATTATCATAGTCAGACTTTGATTAAGCATTTTTATTGCTCTCCTGGATATGATATAACGGAGAGATAAGAGCTCCACATTACCAGCATTACTCTAAATCTCTCATTGATCTCACTCCGCGTTAAACGTAGCACGGAGGACAAAACAGAACCTTGAGGAAACTCACCACTTAAAAAATCAGGGGCTGAGCGTAAATCTCCTACAGACACCACAGGTGTCTAGAAGAAACTGTGATGAAATGACAAAAAGTATATTATGTTGTCACAACACAAACTCTGGCCTTTCATACTTGTGTGCCAATGTAGGATGCAAGCATGTGGTTTGCACTGTAACACTGCAACACAAATTTCAACATTTGCCCCCAAGGATACATTTGAGCATTATCTTTTTGAAATGTCAATGTAAATGTAAGAGTAAAATCACAAAGCTGATTCACCCACATGGAACTCAGAAAAATACCATGGTTAATGGTATCAAATGTCAGCAGTCCTAGAAAATCAACAGCAGTGTGCTCCTACATCTCTCTCCCAAGAAAAATACTTCACACTGAGTCCAAACCAGGCCTAAATCCTTATTCAAAAGAATTTAGATAATCTGCTTCATCCAAGAGTGTCTGGATCTGATACCCACTACCAGGAAGGAAAAGCAGGCCACAGGGTCAATCAAGGAAGTGGCTGGACAAATTCTACTCAGCACATATACTGACATCTTCCAATCTTAAAAACTGAAAGTCATCCAAAAGAATTTGATTGACAGTGCCCAGCCACTTCTACACACAGAACTACCCAAACTGCAGAGCCTACATCATGACAAATATAGTAATTTTTATTCTCAGAAAACTCTAGCAAATATGTCATTGTGAACTGCCAAGGGTCTATATGATCTTCTGTTTGGCCAGAACCTAGAAGGCCCTCAAACCACTGAGAAAAGATTCAGTGAGCTACACTGAGAATATACAGAGAAAAAAAAAAAACTTTTTCAGCCACCAACACCAGCACACAGCACCTGCAGTAACAAGCTCTTCCTAATAATCAGTCAAATTCAGGCAGGTCTCCCTTCACCTGTACTCCAGGTGATTCTCAACTTGCTTTGTTGCCCTCAGCTGGGGTATACACTAAGGGGATGGATGGGCTCTTCAGGATGAAAGAGAACATTCAGAAGCAGTTGCCCAGGACATCCCTAATTTGGGCAGTAATCAAAGCTCCAACTGGAGAACCCAGATTGAAAATCCACTGGAGCCCTGTGGAATGCATTGGGATCCATTAGTCTCTGAATGTGCATCCTGTGAATAGTTTATCACCCCTCCAGGAAACAGTTGTTGCAAGTCTAAATCTCACCAAGACCTGCTCTGGCCATGACAAAATGTAAAATCCCCTACATTCAGTCTACTATACTCCCCAACAAATGTAAAATCCCCTACATTCAGTCTACTATACTCCCCAACAGAGAAATAGCAGATCCACAGCATGTCCGTAACAAGCTGGGGCAGATGCAGGATTGTTGCTAAGGATCCCTGAGCTGCTCCAATCATGGCAATCTGGCATAAATATTGTAGTACCCTAGAGTCATCGTCTTGGGAATCCACCACAACAAATCTGAGACCATCTCCATCAGTTCAAGTGCAGAAACTGCAGGCAAGAGGTTGGATGATATGCCAACAGAATCCTTTATTTGTCCCAAGGGCCCAGCACAAGACACAAGAACTGTGCATAAGAAGAAAATGACTGAATAGCCACCAGAGGTTCTTTAATCTGACTCTTCAAAGGGAGCACAACTCCACCTCCAAAGAAAATGCAATTCCAACTAAGCCATCACCATCCAGAACATCTGCTCTTTTGCTTCACAAACTACCTGTTTAGTTCTGCTTACATTGTTTATTTTCTCCAGCTCCTCAGTCATAGCACCCAAATCTTCTACAAGACTGGAAAGTGGAAAAGAAGCCCAACTATATATCATAACGGACAGAGCACCTAACATACTGGTTAATTCATACTGAACAGCCCTATGTGATGCCCTTCAGATGTGCCAGGAGGGCATCTCCCAGCAATGCCATCCAGTATGATTGATAGATTCCAAAACCACTGGAGAGAAAGCTGAACCTGGACATATCCAGGGAGTGGAACAATCTCCACCTAGCAAAATCTTCTATAATTGTCCATCCATCACAGGGATGGATCCATCATAACTCTCTGACTCCTAAGCCATTAATTCCTGAGTCTACATCACAGGAACACTGGTTCATGTAGCCTGGTACTGGCTGTACTAGCGACAGGCAACCTTATGCTCCCCCACAACATTTGGACTACATTTCCTCTAATGCTCCAACAAAGTATGTTGACTGAAGATTTGAGGCATTAGGATCCATAGCATCTGGAAAAAGGATCCCAGTTTATCTGGCATGTTGGCTGAGGTTTACAGTGATAACCCCAAACATGTGGGAGGCACCAACTTGTTGACCAGCTGACCAAGAATTCCTCTTTAGAGTTTCAGTCCAGGGTCTTTTCTAGCTGTACTTGGAGACTGAACCTGCAACCCTCTGCATCTAAAGCAGAGGCTCTCCTCCTGAGCTACCAATCTCAGAGAGGGCAACTCAGCCTCAGGACCTCCCACTTGTAGAGCACCAATTCAGTTCCCATCTGGATGTGCTGGTCTTGTCTTACCTTCTGAAAGTTGCAGTGAGGGTTTCTGCACGCAACAGCTTCACACAGGACAATGTCACCATGGCAACCACACTCTCGGCACGAGTCCAGCTTCCAAACAGTGTTGTTCTGCAAACAAACCATAATCTCTAAATTAAAATTCTATTTTAAAAAAAGAGTTCACACGGCATGCAATTACAGGACAGCAGAAAAGGGTTCAGATGATTTAAAAGGGGCTTTGCGTTACAGAGGCGAACTTGGCAACTGGGATTTGTCTGCTCCATGCTGATTAACACCCATGGCTATAATAAGTCCAAAGCTATTCATGTCATACTTTCAAAACATGTAATCAAAAGACTCAGGTCTGCAATGAAAAGCAATCAATTTGAGCTGCAAAGTAATTGATCCACCTAAGCCCCGGTAGCTACAATCTGATTAGAGCTTCTCTTCCATATAGTTCAGGTTTCTATAAACAGATTCAGGCTGGGAATTTAATGACTTCCAAAGGAGCATTTGATGCTCCATTCATATTAAAATTAATGTCCTGGAAAAATTACCTGGGGTGTCAAACAGCTTCTGTGTTATGTTCTGTGTTATGCGAAGAGGCTAAAAGGATTAAGAGTTTTCTGGCTATAAAAGAGTAGAGGAGTGATAGGGAGGAAGAAAAGATCCTGAATGCATTGGCCAAGGGAAACGATACCTTGAAGTCTTTGGTAGAAAATAATATACCCAACCAGACAGAACATCTAGCTAAACTAAGTAGGATGGGACCTGGTCAGTACTTGGGATGGTTGAAAACCAGAATATTCCAGGACTCCAGACTGAAAAAGAGGAAAAAAGTCCAGGACGAAGAAAATACAAAGCCACTTTTACCAACAAAACTGCATAAATACATCCATAAAGTCATTAGGAATGAAGCTCAAT